CAAGAAGATGCTACGACGACGGCTTCAGTACTGTGATGAAATTCGCGGCTCACCGAACATCTCAGAACGGATGTGCGCTGGAGCGGACAACCGCACGATCGGACAACTCACTGGCATAAATCTTCCACCTTTGGTAGATGAGAAATTAACAGAAGCCTATCGAAAGATCGTCGATGTCACCCCTTTGCCGCGATTTTTCGATTATGGACATATGTTTGAGTAAGATTTTATTGAGGGCTACGTATTCAAAACTATGTCACTGAATGGGTAAATCTATCAATAGGTCCTACGTGTGGCGCGCGGTTTTTCTAACCAGTTTCACACTTGGAATTCGATTTGGTAACCTGGATGCGATTAGCTATTTGCTGTTAGGAATATTTGGCATCTATCTTATCTTCCTTCTTACTTATATAGTTTTGCCGATTGGCACAGTTTACGGCAATCAGATTAAGCAAGTAAGCTTTTTTAAAACTCCGGCCAAAGGATGAAACAGATCCTGCCAATTTCAGAAAGACTTAAGTATACACGAAAGACGAATCATCCTCATTGGCATCTCGGCACTTCTGGGAGTGCTAAGCAGTGTTGTCAACCAACATTATGTGATAACAGATACTGCAGCTCCTTCATATTTTCTTCCTGGCCTTGTTGGGCTGGCTGTTCAGGTGAATACCTCTACTCCGAGCTTATTAGCCTATCAGCGCTAAGTTTCTCCTCATTTTCAGCTCGTAGGTCCTCAATTCGGTCACGACCGTGTTGCATTCTTAGCTGTTTCTGTTGGCTCAGCTTTCGCTGCTGGGATAGTGCTCATGGCGGTTTTCCACGATGTCTCATTCGCAGCCATAATAGGATTGACGATATCAGCACTTTGCGCTACGATCAATCTTCAGCTGATGGTCTTCTCTATCAAACAAGGTACATTCTTACACTGCCTCGAAAAATTGAAAAGCGAAAACATTTTCAGGAGGAATAGACATGATGGGCGGACACATTACTGCTGTCTTAATGGCCCTCTATCAACATCTCGTTTTCAGCCGACTTTTTGGAGAGTATTCCGAGGAAGAGAAATCCACACCTTCCGTGACGAAGCCCATACTCTACTCATGATTAATGTAATAAATGAATTGCAAAACATTTTCGTACCTTATCGCTTTTTAAAATCTCCTCTGGAATTGAAAACGATGTCCCCACTCGTTTTTTCAATTTCGGCATCTCCTCGCCAGGTTTAAGCGTATTGCGAATTTCTTCTGGCATCTCTCCAGTAATTTCCTAATAACAGAGCTTTGGTCTCAAGACAGATGTAAATAAAATGGTACAGAGGAAGTAGTAAATACAAGGAGACAACATAGATAGATACGGAAAGGAAGTTTCAAAGCATATAAACTCATTAAACTACGTTTCCTACCACGATAAACGCTTGAGATAGGGCAAGCGCTCAAACCTGTACAACATCTAAATGGAT